TAATAATAATAATAATAATAATAATAATAATAATAATAATAATAATAACAACAACTACTACTACTACTACTACTACTACTACTACTACTACTACAATAACAAAATAAAGCAATAAACAGTAACATTTTGCTTTTGCAGCTTACTCCATAGTATAGGCAATGATTAGAGGATTAGAAAAATGTACTAACTTATATAGAAAAGATGTCTTGTTGTTTTCACAATCTTCTACCTCATGACCCCTTAGATCTGCTGTGCATAAATTCTCCATAAGATAAAGTTATATTTTTGAGTCATTGTAGTATTTATGTATTTTCCTCTTCTTTTGTATATTATAATTTCTGCTTTCTTTACATAGAATTCTGTTCATTGACCATAATAAAAGATTGACTGACTGACAGATTATATTGAGAAAAGAGATGCAACTCTTAAGTTTTCTACAATATATTGTACCAGTGACACCAATATCTGGTTGCAAAATGACTGGTAAAATGAAGGCGTTAAAAACACATTTTTTAAAAAATGGTAGATCATAAAAAATAAAACCCAACTGATCTTATAAATGGTCCATTTGATCTATCATTCTTGAAATACTGCTGAGACAGGTTGTTTTGAAGCATTTCTAGTGATAGAACAAACTTCTAAGGTTAAGATTTTCCCTTGTTTTTCTTTCTTTATGAATATTTATATGATATATCTGAGCTTGTCTGGTTAAATACCTCTATTCTCTCAATCCTTCAGATCCAATCCAACTCACCTGGTCCTCTCAAGATAAACAAGGAGTAATGGAAAGGACTTCCCCACATCATATGATTCATTATTCTTGCATGATCCTTGGTTAATTAGGAAGTGCCAAGGAGGCAGATAATAGGATAAAGAAGTATAATAGAAGACTGGTAAAGTTGACTGCCTACTGCTTCCTCTATAAGAATAGGCAACATATCAGTAGTTGCATATTATAAAAAAAACATATTTTATTTGGCACTGGCAATAATTGTTGGCTCAAGAGATATTTATAAAATGAGAAAGGGAAATGGGAATTAGAATAGAGGACTTTGAAGGGTACTATGGCACAAACAAGTTAAATTATCTAGTCCATAATATATTTCAAGTATCCACATAATAGTGGGCTTACATAATGAATTTTACTGTATCTTAGGTATAAAGCCAGATGTTGGGCCAACCAGTCTCTCTCAACCTAGGAAAAAAGTATTATAAAACCACTTGATTATTGAAGTGGTATTCAGCAGGTTCTGACTAGTTCTGGAGAACCGGTAGTGGAAATTTTTAGTAGTTCAGAGAACTGGCAAATACCACCTCTGATTGGAGATTTTACAGTATCCTTCCCCTGCCATGCCACCAAGCCATGCCTACAGAACTGGTAGTAAAAAAGATTGAATTCCACCACTTAATTAAATGCCTGGAGATTAATTATGATTAAAGAAGACTAAAACAGGTTAAGAACAGTTGCAGGAACTGGGTATTTTCAAGAGAAAAAAGTAGGGGTGACATGATAGCAGTATTCCAGTATTTGAGGGGCAGCCACAAAGAAGTGGGGGTCAACTTATTTTCCAAAGCACCAGAAGGCAAGACAGTAATGTCTTGAGAGAAGCAATCTGGAATTAAGGAGAAATTTGAGCAGGGGGTGAGACTAGAAGATCTCCAAGGTTCCTTCCAGCTCTATCCTGATTGATTCACTTTTGATAATGTTGCCAACTTGTCCAGCCAGTTGCCAGGAGTCAACACCGACTCAAAGGTAAAAAAGAAAAGAAAAGCATTTTTGCATAATACTTGCCCAAATATATGCATATCATAAACAATTGTAACAGGAATATGATCCACAAATTGTATAAATGTTTGTATACAACAGATTGTATACTACAATAATTGTATACTATAATTTGGCTTGAAAATATTTCTCCAATATATTTACCTATAAGCAATAGTTGCAGTGTAAACATTTAAAGCTTTATTATTTATGTCTCCTGGGTTTCTCTCAAGGAATTCTGGGAACTATGCTATCCAGAAAAAAAGTTCTTACAGGATGCTGAATTAACTTGAGAAATTTGATGTGCTCACAGATAGAGGCAAAATTTTAAAACATCTGCTTCATGTACAAATGATAAACAGAACACTGGTATCATACTAGTGAATTATTTCTCAGTACTTTCTCCCAACACATCTTCTGACAGGATTTAGAAGAAATGTGAAAGTACATAATGAATTTTTTAATACAAATACATATCAAAGCTTCCTGCCTAAAATCTTGGGATGAGCTACCGCACTGGTGTGCTTGAAATCCATGAATCTAAAGGAATCTTCAGGAAGTAAATGTCTTTTGATATTTTCCTTTCAGGATTATGCCACCAACTATTTCTTGAGTTGCTTTTAATCATCCCTTCTTTCTTCAAGGGCTTTGGAGAAATAAAGTGTTAGTGATCCTCCAGTTCACTTTGATTCCTTGGTATTTTATGCTTTGTATACTTGAAACTGAAGTTTCTTTGGAACATGTTTTAGTGCAACTGGATATTCTGAGAGAGCATATTAGGTCATACTTGAGATCAATTTATCTAGCAAGAAACAAAGAGGTAAGAGGAATGTAACTTGCAAATGCTTTAAGAATCTCATAGGCTATCAGTCTGTTTCTGAGTAGAATTCAAGGTGCTTTTGCTTAGCTCAGGCGTTATATAGGTGGCATTTATGTGATCAATTCCACATCAACTTGCTGATAAATAAGAGTTTTTCTTTAGAACAATCCCCTCAGATTAAGAGAGATCCAGGCAAACTCAGGTTTTTGAGCCTTAGCTGTGAGAAGGTAACATCTGAAGATGCGTGTGCTGAGTCTAAACTGGCCTTCTCAGTACTTGGAAGGGGAAAAAAAGATAATTCCTGGGTTCTAGATTATATTGGAAGTTGAAAAAACATCGTTCTTTCTATTCTGCTTCTTCAAATCTTTAAAATGTCATGACCCTTTACTGCTACTCTACCAAGGGATAACCTGTGGCATATTTCTTGACTGCTGGTTCTTTTATTGTTGATAGGTGATCCTAAAATGGGGAAGTTATTCATCTCTTCAATATCTTTATCGTCAGTTCTCAGATTGGTTGCTGTATTTTGATTTATTTTATCTTTAATCATAGTCCCATTCTTCTTGATTATCATTTGTATTTTCAGCTATCATTCACATATTCAGCCATGTGAATATGTATTTTTTTAAATGTCAAAATTTGGGGCCTGTTGAATATAAGGCCCAGTACAAATCCCAGTGGTAGGATTCAATCTTTTTACTACTGTTTCTGTGGGTGTGGCTTGGTGGGCATGGCTTGGTGGGTGTGTCAGGGGAAGGATACTGTAAAATCTAAATTCCCACCCACTCCAGGGGAAGGATGCTGTAAAATATCTGTTCCCTCCCCACTCCTGGGGGTAGGTTACTGCAAAATCCAATTCCCTCCCCACCAACCTGCTTTCCAGCTCCATTCTTCTGTGCAGGACAACAAAAGAAACCCAGCCGATCAGCTGGGACTTGGGAGGCAGGGAATAGATGGGGGAGGGGCCAGTCAGAGGTGGTATTTGACAGTTCTCCGAACTTTGAACTACGCAAAATTTCTGCTACCAGTCAGAACCTCTGAAATGGTTCCTGCTCACATGTGGAACTCTGATTAATAAAACATTCCAAGACTCTTCTTAATGCACATTTTATCTGATGTAGAAAACATGGTGTGCAACGGGGAAAAAGAATGACATGGGCAGAACCTTCTTGGATGTGACACCTTGCTCTTGGACTACCTGTCTCAGGATGGTTTGTTTATACTTGTACTAAGCTAAGAAACTTTTATAGTCCTCCCTTTTTTTGGTTTTTAAAATGCTGAAAAATTTTGGAACCTTTATGCACAATGATTCTCTTTAATGAATTCTTGTTAAGACTGCATTTAATTATTACTTCAATAGCAATAGCATTTAGATATATACTGCTCCATAGTGATTTACAGCACTCTCTGAGCAGTTTACAATATTAGCATATTTCTGCCAACTATCTGGGTCCTCATTTTACCAACCTTGAAGGTTGGAAATCTGAGTGAACCTTGAGCCCTTTTAGGATTGAACTCCAGGCTGTGGGCAGAGTTAGCATGCAATACTGCATTCTAACCACTCTGCTGCCAGGGTTAATTAATAGAACAATTTAGGATTTAGTCGTATTTACAACATATCTATTGGTATAGTAATCAATGTAGCCAGTCTTGGAGAAGGTCTTAATATTAACTCTAAGTAGCCAGATCTCATACATGCAAAATCTGGTATAGATACTGTGTTTCTCCAACAATATGCCCCCCCCCCACAATAGGAACACCCAGCATGTTTTCTAGGCATAAAATGAAATTAAGCCCCTCCCCCCAAATTTAGGCCTAGTTTAAAACATGCAAAATTGGGGGTGGGGAGGCGGGGAGGAACTTGCCATTAGGAGTGCAGGCAGCTACACCTCACCATCAGCCACTCCTAACAGCCAACCCTGGTGGAGCACAAAGGGCTCCCTTACCCCTCCCTTACCCAGGTCAGCAGGCATCGGCATCAGCGGCAGCATTTCAGCCACTTCTCAGGCCTCCGTAGCTTCTACAGTTCCCACCGGTGCTGGCGCCTCTCTCGCCAGTGCTGTCTCCAACAACACCGTCTGAGTTGCTCCTGCTTTTCCCCACATCCCCGTAACAACAGGGAAAAAAAACATTTTGAGGTACCTGGGAGCGCCGCGCGCTGTGTTTTGGTTTAATCACGAGTGGCTGGGTGGGCGTGAGAAGAGCCGAGCAAGCGTCTCTGCTACTACTACCCTTGGTGCTCTAGCCTCAGGCTCTGCAAGTTTGCAAAAGTCCCAGTGCGCAGTCCCTGTTCCTGCATTCCAGGTGCCCAGGCCGAGATGTAGCTGTCCCTCTCTAGCCAGAGCTGTCTCCAATAACAGCAGCAGCAGTGGCAAGAACCATGGAAGCGTTTCAGCCACTTCTTGGGTGGGGGAACCGCCTCTGTAACTTCCACGGTTCCCGCCGCTGCTGCTGCTGTTGTTGGAGATGGCGCTGGCAAGAGAGGGACAGCTGAAGCTTGGTTTGGGCACTTGGAATTCAGTAATGGGCTGCGCACTGGGACTTTTGCAAACTTGCAGAGAGCCTGAGGCTGGAGCACCAAGGGTAGCAGCAGCAGAGACGCTTGCTCAGCTCTTCTCATGCCCACCCAGCTGCTTGGGGTTAAACCAAAACGCAGCACGCGGCGCTCCCAGGTACCTCAAAATCTTTTTTTTCCTGTTATGGGGATGTGGGAAAAGCAGGAGTGACTCAGATGCTATTGTTGGAGATGGTGCTGGTGCATGGGGGTGGGGGGAAGAAATTAATTCATCCCAAAAAAGACGTCCTAGCCATTTTGGGGGGGCTCAAAAAAAAAAATAAGGCCCGGCCTTATTTTGTGAGAAAAATGGTAGTGTTTGCTTCGATCTCTAATGCCTTATTTCATGCTACCTAACTGAAAAGGGGTTCTGAAAAAACTCAAACATGTGCAGAGGCATCCAGAAAATCCTGATGCAGGTAAAAAATGCAGGGCTTCAATCACACCATTACAGCTACCATATTGACTTTTCTGTCCAGTCCTGCAGTTTCCACTTTCTAGGACTCTGATAGTTCTAAGTCTGGACTACAGTATTCAACAAGTTTTATTTACAGGCAACAGTGCAACTAGAACTACCTTTAGAAATATGACAAATTTTGGAGGGAGCTTCCGGTGGCAGGACAGGGCGAACGGAGGTGAAGAAGACTGTTGCAGTCTTTGAACACCTTTTCTGGCACCAGGAGCGATCCCCCAGGGATACACAAACCCCGGAGAGGTTCGTGTCAACGTGGAGAACCTCGAGCTGCAGAGTGGGGAAGGCAACCCCCCGACAGCAAAGAGGGAAGCTCCCGAGCCTGGCGCAAAAGAGTAAGCTGTCATTCTATGGTGGCTTCAAGTCCGGTCTGCCACTTGAGTGAATAAGCAAAGCAGTGACAGCCTGCGAGATCAAGAGTAACAGGAACAGAGAAATGGTTTATAACTTGGAACCTTTGAAGACTGAAGATAGCAGAATGACAGAAGAATGACAGCGTAAATTCTTCTCTCCTGGTTGTGATTAGCACTTTTCAGAAGTCGGGCGGAAAGCGGCCAGAAAAGCAGTTGGGAAAATGAAAGGATTATAATGGATAGCGGAAATGCCTAAGCACAAAAGTGAAAGCGCAGATTTTACCGTGTGAAAGGGAAGCTCTGGGGAAAGAGGGAGATTGCTAAAACCAGGAGATCGGAGGTCCGGAATTGGTGAGGGGCTTCATCTGATTTTTGGACCTTTCTTTTTGACTTTACTTGAGAAAAGGGAGGCGACAGAGGTGAAAGAATACTGGCGTTGATCGAGTCTGATGAATCCTCAGATCTGAGCACAACACGACTATCACATCTATTTAATATAGTGGAGAAGACAAACTGAGCATTATATTGGACTTTGGAAGATTTGTATGTTGATTTAAAAGTTGGAAAGCAAAGAAAGAAGAAGAAGCAAGAGGAAGAAGGCAGAGACGAACAGAAGGCTGGGAAAGACGGTTTTGGGACTGCAGATTAGTCAGCACATTACACCATTTGCTGATTGGAAGGCTGAAAAGAATCCTCTAGCTGGAAGATGGACTTTTAGCTCACCCAATTTGCTTTCTTTATTATGTGGTACTACTTAATATTACTAGTTTGGCACTACTTTCTCCTTAAAATGATTTCCTTGCTATTTGTTTGTTGATTCTCTGAAGCTGTGGTAATCTCTCTCCTACCCTTTCTCTTATTGTTTTGCCCCCTGCCTCCCTATTGTATCTCCTAAATAGCTTACATAATTCTACTTATTTGGGGGGGGGGAAGAGGGGGGTATACTATTATTATAGAGTTAAGAGATTACTGTTGTAAGTATTAATAGTAAAGAGGGATAAACTCTGTTGATATAAACTATTTATAAATTATTTGGACTACTTAAGACATTTAAGATTAATTCCTTAAAGTGTTAATTGATGTACTATTGCTGACCAATTTTCTTATTACATAGACTAGAATACTGTAGTAGATATCAATTTATGATATAGGGGAAAAGACTGTGGAATGAGATATTAAATTGAAATACGTGAATAGACTTTCAAATACAAGACCCAAACACTGAATGGTGATTTGGGATAATATATCTAAAATTGTGCATCAACAGAAACAAATACTTAGAGAGATGACATCCACGACAACTATGGCCTTAAAAACAGGAAGGAAGGCTACCCCTACCCTATCGACTACGTTGACACCCACCCCACCAACAACTCAAAAAACTATTGAGGAGTCCTTAACAGGGGAAAAGCAGCCTAATGTCCCCAACATTAATATACAAACTTCCTTATTATCCTTGCAGGAAGCTAAAATGCAAGAAATGATGATTAAAAATCACAATGAAACTAGAGCAGATATAAGCGAATTGAAAGATGGGAAACTGAAGGCTGAAATGAAAGCGGATATATCAAAGGTGGAGGGTAAGATAGGGTCTCTACAGCAGGCCATGGAGAAAAATGAAGTGAAAATAAAAGATATAGAGAGTAGAACAACACGCATGGAGACTAACTTTGAAAGGATGGATGAGGAGTTTTAAAAATGTACTTAGAGAAACAGAAGACTCACTGGTTCACCTCGAGATGGACAAAGCAATGGCGTATTTAAGGTTCCAGAATGTGGCTGAAGCAAAAAATGAAGAATTGGAACATTTGATGGCAGAAATATTGGCTGAATGGTTAGGAAAAGAAAAAGATGACCTAATTAAAGAGTTTGATGAGGTATATAGGGTTAGCACAAGCTATGCCAGA